GGTCCGCCTTCTTTCTACCAATCACCTAACCGCCCTCCGTTTCAAACCCATCCACCTTACCACCCGCATCAGAACCCATACGATGATGACTACCAAGTCAACAATGGGTCTGACTACTATCCCTACCATGAGGAACCACCATATGATACCCCATCTGAAAACTTTGGATATTCTCCGTACCAAGACTTTGATGGGGAAGATCATTATGAACCTCATGGTGATCACGATGACTATGACCGCAATGGGCCTATATACGACGATCAAGCTGATCCGCTCGTCGAAGAAATAACAAGATTAGAACGGAAAATCTTCTATTTCGACGAAGTTTTATTCGCTGAAGGCTCCTGGTATGAACCACCCTACTCCCGTGACTATACCCTGTTTGCTGAAGAACAAATTGAAGCAAACAAGGTGGCAATTCGAGAAAGAGCAAAACTTCATGAATCAGTCCGGAAGGAAAAGGAGTTCAAAAGGAGATTATGCGAAGGATCAGAGATGATGCAGAAAATGTTGGATGACTTCCAAAGAGAGAGACTAGAAGCCGAGGCTAAAGCTGATAAATTAGTCAATGATCTCTGTAAGGCTGTTGAACTTAAACGCTCCCTCCATTCTCAAGATCAAATGAGGGAGGTTAATGCTCAAAACGAGGCTCTAGAACCTAAGACCAACCCAAAACCATTCAACCATCAGGTTCCAGTTCTAGAAGATTCACCCAGTTTTTCACCATCACAGCAACCCGAGAGCATAACAACTCTCGTTAGGGCTACTGTGGTGATGTTACCTGAATGTCCTCCTAGCCAAGTCTCAACCAGCATAGTTGTACAAGAGGTGGAACCAACTGAGGGACCTGACTCAGAACCACCTACGCTCATTCAAGAAAAGGAGGAGGAAGTTTTGCCTATGGCAATAAACGACCATCTCCTTAATTGTGTTGAAGGAACAACTCCAGAGGAACCTGTTCTGGAGGAAATAGAGCCCATTACCTGCCCCCAAGATACCAATGGCCAAGAGTCCGAGCAGGAATCTACAGGCGAGGAAATACTTTACATAGAAAAGCCAACTCTGTCTATAGAAACCTATGTACGTAATGCTTCATCTGAAGACTCAGACCAAACCTTCTTTGACTCCCTGCTTGACGGGTGTGACGATGTCTGCCCGAAGGATGGTTGGAGCTTAAGGAGTTGGGATGAACTTCTGATGAGTGACACTGAAGACTCTTCCATGGGGGAAAGCATGGTCGTAATCATCAAACCACAAATGGATAGTCAACCGACTGAAGATAAGGAAGAAATCAATTTCGCAATCAAGGCTAATGATGTGGATCAACTGAGGAGACTTCCGCCACCACCCACCTATCTAGAGTCTCCTCCTTTTATCCTGTTGCCGCCAAGCCGCAGGGACGAGTCAAGGATCCTGGACCTTGACCGAGCAACAAATCAAACAAGGTGGCACCAGAAGAGAGTTAGAAGGGCCAAACTTTATGACTCTCGGATCGGGAAGTCGCGGAAAAAGTGGGTGAGCGTCGAGCTACGGACGTTAAAGAAGCGCTTAACGGGAGGCAACCCGTCATTCAAATAACTAAAATAATTAAATAAAAACTTTGATAGTTTTTGAGGTTTTGCTTGCCGCACCAATTTTGGGGGCAAGAGTTATTTTGTTTGTTGTCTTTGCTTTTGCAGATGAGAGAATTTTAGGGCATACCTAACAGTGGGAGCGAAGAAGATGTCTCACATGCGGAAAACACAAGGTTTCTGCAACCTTCGAGGCTTCTTGATCCAACAGGTTGAAATTGGCTACTGAGAGAATATTGACTTTATCAGTAAAGTCCCTTTTTCTCTACTATTTTGAACATGATTTGGATGCTTGATGATTATTATTTTGGAATTTCACAACATGACTCTTAAAAC